GGTGCGGTGTGGACCTGCTGTGTAGCCTGGAGGGTGGTGGGGTGCGGCGTGGACCTGCTGTGTAGCCTGGAGGACAGGAGGTGCCTACATCCTGCCATATTGTGGTCCATCTCTATGGCCCAGGAGGGCCCAGCTGCCCAGCCAGACCAGGTGGGTTGGGGCCTTGCGCACCTTCCTCCCACTTCTGCCCCTGCTGAGATTCTCTCAGCCCCAGCAGCCCTGGTGCCCATAGCCTCCATGCAGCCTGACGGGCCTGGGTCTGAGTGGAAGGTCTTCATCCAAAGCTCAGCTGCACAGATGTCTGGGTGGCGTCTTTGCAGGAGCTAAGAGTGGCGGGCATGGTCCTGGAGCAGGGTCCTGGAAGGCCTCCACACCATGCCCTGTGGCTTCCTGGCTGTGACACACTGGGGTACCTCCAGGTAGGATGGGCTTCCAGCCAGGCAAAGGCCCAGGGCCTCAGTTTCCCTAGCCATAAGAGGGGAGGGTGAGCCCCCAGGGGAGCACAGAGGGTCCTGCATGTGATTATCTTTAGCACAGGCCTGTGACTCAGAGGCCGGGACCCACCTTTTCCTGTGTCACCCTCAGGGCTCTCGAGTTTCTATCTTGACATCGGGGAAAGAAAGTTGTGTGGCTGCTCTGCTTGATTTTACTTCTGGGTGGAAACTGGCCCCTCCCTGCTTCCTGTGTGGCGAGGGATGAACAGGGCAAGCCCCCGGCTGCTGGCAGCACTGGCTGGTGGGGGGGCTCCTCTCTTCCCATCCCAGCAAAGCTCTGGAGCCCCAGCCCCAGCAAGCCGCCCCTGTGGGGCAGGTGTCCAGGCTAGACAGGGCTCTGCATTCATGTCTGGGGCTCCCAGAACGCAGAAACACACGCCCAGCAGCCCAGAGCAACAGCAGTCTACTTTCTCCATGCTCTAGAGGCTGGAGACTGGAGGCTGCTTCTCACGAGGCCTCTCTGGGGTGTGTCCTCACATGGTGGGTCCTGTGTGCCCATCTGTGTCCTAATTCCCCTTCCTAAGGGCGCCTGGCATATTGGTTGGAGGCCACCTTGCTACTGTGTGGCCTCATCTTAATTAAACTGCAACCACTATATTTCCAAATCAAGGCACACTCAGGCCCCGGGGACAGATCTCCCTGTAGGATGGGGGTGCAGTTCAGGCGGTGGCAGCCTTGGAAACACCTGGAATGGCCAACAGGGGCAGGGGCTGGGGGCTGAGTGGCAGGCGCGGGGCTGTGAGCACCACCCTGGCTATTTTCCCCGTAATAAAAAGGGAAAAACCCACCTGTGTGAGCCACTCATCCACCGTGTAGAAGCAAAGCCAGTGCCCTGCGGGGGTCACTTTCCCGAGAGGCAAAGCTTCCAGGAAAGGTGTTGATGGTGGCCTGAAATCCATGCAGCAGAAGCCAGCTGAACTTGGGCAGAAGGCACACTCAGGGATAGACACTCAGGGACGGATACTCAGGGATGGACACAGGGCCGCATCTGTACCAGCGCAGGGCTGCAGACCCCATGGGTGCCCTGCCCTGAGGGCTGTTGGCAGGTGTGGTTGTCAAAGCCATCCCTGGCACCTGCCTCTCATCCACAGGCCCCTGGCTTCCACACTATAGCCTGGGGTCTCCCCTGGCTCCAAAAGGCTGCTCTGTGACCCTCGGGTTGCAGACAGGACGCTGGGTGCTGGGGGGCAATGCCTCTGCGGTCACACAGCCAGAGCCGCTCAGGCGGCTGCCTGGCGTCCCTAAAAAGACATGTTCAAGTCTTTTTTTATTTTATTTTATTTTATTTATTTATTTAAAGACGGGGTTTCACCATGTTGGTCAGGCTGGTCTTGAACTCCCGACCTCAGGTGATCCACCTGCCTTGGCCTCCAAAGTGCTGGGATTACAGGCGTGAGCCACCGTGCCCGGCCTGTGTTCAAGTCTTAACCTGCAGCACCTGTGAAGGTGAACTTACTTGGAAATAGGGACTGGACACGAGGCTCACGCCTGTAATCTCAGCTCTGTAGGAGGCCCAGGTGGGAGGACTGCTTGACCCCAGGAGTTCCAGACTAGTCTGGGAAACATACTGAGTTCTTGTCTCTACAAAAAATAAAAAAATTAGCCAAGCTGTGGTGGTGCACACCTCTAGTCCCAGCTGCTTGGGAGGCCGAGGCAGGAGGATCCTGGAGTGCTGGAGTTGGAGGCTGCACTGACTGTGATCGCACTGCTGCACCCCAGCTTGGGAGACACAGTGAGACCCTGTCTCTAAAAGAAAGAAAAGAAATAGGATCGGCTGGGCGCGATGGCTCACGCCTGTAATCCCAGCACTTTGGGAAGCCTAGGCGGGCAGATCTTCTGAGGTCAGGAGTTCAAGACCAGCCTGACCAACATGGAGAAACCCCGTCTCTACTAAAAATACAGAAGTAGCTGGACATGGTGGTGGGAGCCTGTAATCCCAGCTACTTGGAAGGCAGAGGCAGGAGAATCGCTTGAACCTGGGAGATGGAGGTTGCGGTGAGCCAGGATCCCACCATTGCACTCCAGACTGGGCAACAAGAGCAAAACTCCATCTCAAAAACAAAACAAACAAAAAAACTAAAAAAAAATAAATGGGATCTTTGCAGATGACTTCAGGTTAAGATAAGGTCGGCCAGGCATGGTGGCTCACGCCAGTAATCCCAGCACTTTGGGAGGCTGAGGCGGGCTGATCATGAGGTCACGAGATCAAGACCATCCTGGCCAACATGGTGAAACCCCCATCTCTATTAAAAAATACAAAAATTAGCTGGGTGTGGTGGCGCAAGCCTGTAGTCCCAGCTACTCAGGAGGCTGAGGCAGGAGGATTGCTTGAACCTGGGAGGCAGAGGTTGCAGTGAGCCGAGATCCTGCACTCCAGCCTGGCGACAAAGCAAGACTCTGTCTCAAAAAAAAAAAAAAAAAAGGTACAGGGCCTTGTGCAGTTAGGCTAGGATGGGCTTTTACTTTCTAAGCCCTAGATGAGCCAGCCTCCCTAATCATCACAGAGGTGCACATGAAAAGGAGGGGCTCAGCTGCGTGCGGTAGCTCACGCCCAAAATCCCAGCACTATGAGAGGCCAAGGTAGGAGGATCGCTTGAGCCTAGGAGTTTGAGACCAGCCTGGGCAACATGGCAGGACCCTGTGTCTACAAAAATAAATTAGCCAGGTGTGGTGGCATGTGCCTGTGGTTCCAGCTAGTGAGGAAGCGGAGGCGGGAGGGTCACCTGAGCCTAGGAGGTCGAGGCTGGGGTGAACTGTGACTGTACCACTGCACTCTGGCCTGGGCAACACAGTGAGACTCCATCTCACCAAAAAAAAAGGGCCAGGCATGGTGGCTCACACCTGAAACCCCAGCACTTTGGGAGGCCAAGGTGGGTGGATCACCTGAGGTCAGGAGTTCAGGACCAGCCTTGGCAACATGGTGAAAACCCATCTCTACTAAAAATACAAAAATTAGTCTGGCATAGTGGCAGATGCCTGTAATCTCAGCTACTCAGGAGGCTGAGATGGCAGAATTGCTTGAACCCTGGAGGTGGAGGTTGCGGTGAGCTGAGATCATGCCACTGCACTCCAGCCTGGGCAACAGAGCAAGACTCCATCTCAAAAAAAAATAAATAAATAAATAAAGAGACATCAAAAGAGGGAACTAACTGATTAGCAAACCGTTTTAAAAACCAAAGCTGGGCTGGGTATGGGGGCTTACGCCTGTAATCCCTGCACTTTGGGAGACCAAGGCAGGCAGATTACCTGAGGTCAGGAGTTTGAGAGCAGTCTGGCCAACATCGTGACACTCTGTTTCTAGTAAAAATACAAAAAGTAGCCGGGTGTGGTGGTGCACACCTGTAATCCCAGCTACTCGGGAGGCTGAGGCAGAGAATTGCTTGAACCTGGGAGTCGGAGGTTGTGGTGAGTTGAGATCGCACCATTGCACTCCAGCCTGGGTAACAGAGCAAGACTCCATCTCTAAAAAAACCCAAAGCTGGCAGGCACCCCAATCAGCTCTGAGAAGTGTGGGTACCTGGGTGACCGTGTCCTCTGAGAAGCGTGGGTACCTGATAGCCGTGTCCAGTGCCCAGGAGGCTGACCCCTCGGTTCTTTTGGGGTAAGCAGCCCAGAGAGCAGCATGTGTGCAGGGTCGGAGGCCACCTCAGCCCAGTGGCTCAGTCTCTCCTCTCCCGGCAGGCTCCTTCGAGAACAGTGGATCCGGGCCAAGTATGAGCGGCAGGAGTTCATCTATCCTGAGAAGCAGGAGCCCTACTCGGCAGGTGAGGCTGCCCGGGTGGGGCGGGGCCCTCCCCAGCTCCCTCCCTCTCTCTCTCCCTCTCTCTCGGCATCTCCATCTTCTCCGTCTCTGTCTCTCTGTGTCTATCTCCCTCTGTTTCTGTCTCTCACCCTCTCTGTGTGTGTTTCTCTCTTTTTGTCTCTATCTCTCCCTCTCTGTCTCCATCTCTGTGTCTGTCTCTCTCTCCCCTACCTCTTTGTCTCTCCCTCTTTATCTCTATCTCTCTGTCTCTCCCTCTCTCCCTCTCGTGGGGGCAGAGTCATTATTAACCTGGGTAACTCTCTCATGGGTTTGAACCCTCGTCCCTGGACCCATTTTGCCCTCTGACTCTGAGCAGGGTGACTGGGGGCTTGGGGCCCCCATAGCTGTCTACAGTCCAACCCAGAAGGAGTGGGGTGCATGGGGACCCCGTGGGGCCATAACAGATCCCCTCCTCTGCTGGCGGTGATGTGTACTTCCATTTGGGGGCAGCCTGCAGGAACCCCTCTCTGGAGCAGGGTGGGCAGGGCCGGAGGGCCGGGGTGAGGGTCCCGGTGAGGGGCTGGAGGGCGTCCTCTGCATGGCAACACCATGCTGCAGGTGGGGAGGGTGCAGCCCAGGCCTGAGTCCTCCACCTCCCTGGGCCTGGCTGGGTGTCACTGGGGGCCGTCAGGACGGCAGAGACGTCAGGCAGCATCTTGGAGCTTCATGGGCTGACACGGTTATGGAAGTGGGAGCTGGGAGGCAGTGCCATGGGGGCCTAGGAGGCCAGCCCACCCCAGCCTCAGTCTCCCAGTGCTGCGCAGCGGGCCAAGCCTTAGGCCATGCCTCCCGGGGCCCCCCAACCCCTGCTTCTCTCTTAGGTATCATTTAAACGCTGGGAGCTTGAGTTGGAGCCCCCAGCCGGTCGGGCTTGCTTCCTCTCCTGGCTGCTCTGTGTGAGGTGGGCTCGGGGACTGGGGGCCTTGAGTGCTTTTTCCCCAGGGCAGCCCTGCAGGGTGGGCACTGCCTCAGCAGCTCCAACAGCACCGGCCCCAGGGCCTCCCCCGGGCTTTGGGGGGTCACCACCCCACCCCCTGCCCCCTCTTGTCTCCTCTAGTCCCCGGCTCCAGGCAGTGGACTCCAGGCCCTTGACCACTCCCCCAGATGGCCACTCCTGCCCTCAGGACTGATCCTGGGTGGGAATCCCAGGGTCCCTCATGCTCTCTTGGCCCTCAGTGTGGGACCGGCGGGACTCTGCCACCTCTTCCCGGGTCCTAGCCTCAAGGTCCCTCTGGCAGGCGAGGCCTGTGGATAAATGTGTCACTCAGCAAACCATGATCTTACAGGCTGGGAGGGAGGGGCTGTGTGCAGGGGTGGGTCCACCACCCACCCATCTCAGCCAGGCAGGTAATGCTCAGTTACCCCCACCTCCCACATGCTAGGTGTCTGCACACTCAAGCTTCCTGAGTGCCCCTTCGTAGACAAATTGGGAAACCCAGCCAAGCCTAGCCCTAGAGCCTGGCTCTGAGCATCAGCATCGGCGGGGCGGGGTCCAGAGGGCTGGATGAGGAGGTTCTGCTGGGTGTGGCCTCACAGGGAGGAGGCAGCCCCCATGGCCTGGACCTTCAACCCCAGCAGTGCCCCATTCCCCTTGCATAAGAGAGAGGCGGCCATGAAATAGTGGAACACAAGGATGGGCGCCAGGGCTCATGCCCATGATCCCAGCACTTTGGGAGGCCAAGGCAGGAGGATTGCTAGGGGTCACACAATCCTGGGCAACATAGTAAGATGCCCTCCCTTAAAAAAAAATTAAATGGATATGGTGGCACCACCTGTGGTCCCCAGGCCCCTCATCAACTCGGGAGGCTGAGGCAGGAGGAGCCTTTAAGTGCAGGAGTTCGAGGCTACAGTGAGCTGTGATTGCACCACTGCACTCCAGCCTGGCTGACAGAGCAAGACTCTGTCTCAAAGAAAAAAAAAAAAAATGATGGGCTGGGCACGGCGGCTCACACCTGTTATCCCAGCACTTTGGGAGGTTGAGGCTGGCGGATTGCCTGAACTCAGAAGCTCAAGACCAGCCTGAGCAACATGGCGAAACACCATCTATACCAAAAAATACAAAATTAGTTGGGCGTGGTTGGCACATGCCTGGGGTTCCAGCTACTTGGGAGACTGAGGCAGAAGGAACTCTTGAACCTAGGAGGCAGAGGCTGCAGTGAGCCAGAGGCTGCAGTGAGCCAGAGCTGCACCGTCATACTCTGGCCTGGATGGCAGAACGAGAGTATGTCTGTAAAAAGGAAGAAGAGGAATTGTATTTGTGAATCTCACCTCAAGAATAAAAGAGCACCGCTGGGTGTGGTGGCTCATGCCTGTAATTCCAACATTTTGGGAGGCCGAGGTGGGCAGATCACCTGAGGTCGAGAGTTTAAGAACAGCCTGATCAATGTGGAGCAACCCCATCTCTACTGAAAATACAAAAAATTAGCCAGGTGTCGCATGCCTATAATCCCAGCTACTTGGGAGGCTAAGGCAGGAGAATCACTTGAACCTGGAAGGCAGAGGTTGCAATGAGCTGAGATTGTGCCACTGCACTCCAGCCTGGGCGAAAGAGCAGGAGTCTATCTCAAAATATGTGAAAGAGGCCGGGCGCGGTGGCTCACACCTGTAATCCCAGCACTTTGGGAGGCCGAGGTGGGCAGAGGTCAGGAGTTCCAGACCAGCCTGTCCAACATGGTGAAACCTCATCTCTACTAAAAATACAAAAATTAGCTGGGCACGGTGATGTGTGCCTGAAATCCCAGGGTGAGGCAGGAGAATCGATTGAACCTGGGAGGTGGAGGTTGCAGTGAGCTGAGATCGCGCCACTGCATTCTGCTGTCCAGCCTAGGCAACAAGAGTGAAACTTCATCTCAAAAAAAAAAAAAAAAAAAAAGGTATGTGAAAGAGGCAGCCCTGAAATAGCTGAACTCACGTCCTGGTGTCACCGGTGGGGTCAGATGGGGGAGGCCCTAACCCCCAAAGCACCCGTCCCTTCCAGCCCTCCCTGGTGGAGCTGGCACTCACCCACCTCCCGTGTGCCTCCCTGGGGCTCTGTCAGAACCATGGATTTTGCTCCCAGGAGCAGCTCAGGGTGAGCAGGGGTCTGACCGGAGGGAGGCAGACTGTCCCTAGGCCTGAGCAAGGTACCTCCCGAGATCAGGCTGGGTCTCATGCAGCGGCCCTGTCGGCTCTGCCCTTCCCCAGTGTGGCTCCTGGCCCCTCACCTCCCGGCCCCCACCCCCACTTGGCACACAGCCAGCCTGTGCAGGCGTTGATTCAGTTACTGTCCACCCAGGCAGCAATTTCCTTCTCTCCTAAGAATCTCTGTGTGTATGATGGGGAGAACAAGAAATGGTCAGGGGTGAACATGCATGTGGCAGCTGGGCCTGCTCAGTGCCCTGGACACCCTGTGCTCCACTCCTGCCCCAATCCCCCAGAGAACCACCCCAGAGCCCTCTGTTTCCTGAGGAAGAAACATCTTAGCAATTTGTAGCAAGGCGGCATGTGACCTCATTTCAGAGGCAGGAGTGGACTGGGCTGGCATGACCACCAGACTGAATTTTGTGTCTGTTCTTGTATCACAACCTTCTGGTTGTAAAAGATGGAAAATCCGACTGAGTGTGAGCAAAACTGGAAATGGATCGGCTGGAATAATGGTTCTGGCTTCAGGCACAGCTTGATCGAGGGGTTTAGTCAGTGTTGTCAGGACCTGGTTTCAGCACCTCCGCCTCCTAGTTCTAGTTCTGTGTCTCTGGGTTGGCACCAACCCTCCTGGTGGCCACCTCCTTTGGTGAGTTTGGGTTTTACATCCCCGCTCTCCTGGGCTGCTGGGAAAGGTCAGGCATGACTCACAGAAGTGTTGGGGAAAGTCCCTGTCTTGTCGGCTCTGACTGTTCGGGCCTGGGATGTGACCGGGGATGTGGTGCCCTGAGTTGCGTGCCTGCCTCCAGCCCCTGGAGTGGTCTTTCCGGGGAAGATCAGTGTCTGGGTTCCAGGAATGGGGGTGTGTGCAGGTGGCAGACAGTGTCTCGTAGGCAGTGAGCGTGGGTCCTGCAGGTGTATTTGGGTGTCATTGGGCTCAGGGCCAGGAGGTGGTGACAGCCCTGGTGACCCAGGACGCCTCCTGCCCCAGGCCCGAGGCCACCCCATTGGAATCCTGTTCCCACCTTTGCTGTTGTCTCAGAGGCATTTCTGGTGCCTTGAGAGCATTTGAGACAAGCTAAAGCTTCCCGTGTGACCATCGGGCAGGGGTCGGAGGGAGGAGAGGCCTCCCAGCAGGGTAGACTCAGGGCACAGAAGTTCAGGCACATGCTGGCGAGCAGGGTTAGAGCCTGAGGCCCTGGCCTTGCCTGCTGGCCTCTGAAGGCCACAGTGAGCGGATGGCCGCTTCTCACACCAGGCCCTGTGTGGCAGCCACGCCCGCAGCCCCGGGTTCATGATCCGCCTGTGGACCGCAGGCCCAGGGTCTGTGCCTCTCTGTTGTCTCCCTGGACAGCGGAAGGCCAGGTGTGAGGATGGTGGGGAGGTGCACAGTGTGCATGCACACAGGTGAGGTACACAGGTGAGGTACTCGGGCAAGATGTACAGGTGTGTGAGGCGCAGATGAGGTGCACAGGTGAGGTGATGGCTGTGTGAGGCACAGGGTTGGTGCACAGGTGTGCATGAAGCCCTGCCGAGTGCACTGGTGAGGTGTGTAGATGTGAGTGCAGGACTGGCCCGTGGTGAAGGTGCCATGGACGCCGTGGCCAGGTGTTTCCTGGCAGCACTGTGGCAGCCCCTCACGGAGGGCACAGGGTCAGAGACTGTGGCTGCTCCAGAGCGTTTGGCTACAGTCTCCCTAAACATAGGAATGCTCAGGCGAGAGCCCCCTGCAGAGAGCCCAACTGAGGGCCATGGAGTTGGACCCGGATGAGGGTGTAAAGCTACAGGAAGGGCGTGGGGTTCCAGAGCCGAGGGGAAGGCTCTCATCCCTCCAGACACGGC